GAATCAACGGTTTATAATTTAGCTCTACACCAACGTATTTTCCTGTACTCGGCGGCTACAATATTATCAGTCGTATGCAAAAGATTTTCAATTAAGAGATCAAAAGTCAAATAACAGTATTTTGTTTTGAGAATTTTGTTTTCCTATGTCGTACAGCGAATACTTGTTTTATGAATTTCATATTTGTTTTGCATCCTTTCGTTGTAAACTCATTACTACTGTTGATTTTTAGCTGTTTGGATAATAGTGTTGAATTAACTTAATAAACCATTAAAATGGTAACATTCCTATTGAAGACATATTAGCATCAAACCATTTATCTTCCTTCTGGGATTTTTACCCATATCTGTTAACAATAGCTGGACAATAAGTTCATTTCCAACACTCATTGTATGTTGCTAGTCACACAAAAAGGACAGGACTAAATGAATTAATGTCCAATCTTTTTGTTAACAATGAAATATATTGAAACCAAACTCAAAAACTACTACCCGACTTACACAGAACATTTACTTACCCAGGCTGAAATACTGTAGCAGTTTAAAAATTGGTCAGACCTAAAGATAAAGCAGAAAAACAGTTACTGTGGGTTTTTTTTCAGGAAGATCAACTGATTTTCAATCTGTTTCCTATTTTTAAAGTGTTCAAACGCCTCACAACTGAGTGTTGACAAAATTTTTAAAGGGCGCATTTATAGTTCCTTTGTATTGTCATTATTCTAATTTATAAGAACTAGTGAAGTGATGGAGGGGCCGAACTACATCCCCATCACTCCGATTGTCATGGTGATGAAGGGGCCGAACTACATCCCCATCACTCCGATTGCCATGGTAATGGAGGGGCCGAACTACATCATCATCTCTCCGATTGTCATGGTAATGGAGGGGCCGAACTACATCCCCATCACTCCGATTGTCATGGTAATGGAGGGGCCGAACTACATCATCATCACTCCGATTGTCATGGTAACGGAGGGGCCGAACTACATTCCCATCACTCCGATTGCCAAGGTGATGGAAGGGCCGAACTACATCCCCATCACTCCGATTGTCATGGTAATGGAGGGGCCGAACTACATCCCCATCACTCCGATTGCCATGGTGATGAAAGGGCCGAACTACATCCCCATCACTCCGATTGCCAAGGTGATGGAGGGGCCGAACTACATCCCCATCACTCCGATTGCCAAGGTGATGGAGGGGCCGAACTACCTACTCATCTCTCCGATTGCCATGGTAATGGAGGGGCCGAACTACATCCCCATCACTCCGATTGTCATGGTGAGGGAGGGGCCGAACTACATCCCCATCTCTCCGATTGCCAAGGTGATGGAGGGGCCGAACTACATCCTCATCTCTCCGATTGCCATGGTGATGGAGGGGCCGAACTACATCCCCATCACTCCGATTGTCATGGTGATGGAGGGGCCGAACTACATCCCCATCTCTCCGATTGCCAAGGTGATGGAGGGGCCGAACTACATCTTCATCTCTCCGATTGCCATGGTGATGGAGGGGCCGAACTACATCCCCATCACTCCGATTGCCTTGGTGATGAAGGGGCCGAACTACATCTTCATCTCTCCGATTGCCAAGGTGATGGAGGGGCCGTACTACATCTTCATCTCTCCGATTGCCAAGGTGATTCAGGGGCCGAACTACATCCCCATCACTCCGATTGTCATGGTAATGGAGGAGCCGAACTACATCCCCATCACTCCGATTGTCATGGTGATGAAGGGGCCGAACTACATCCCCATCACTCCGATTGCCATGGTAATGGAGGGGCCGAACTACATCATCATCTCTCCGATTGCCAAGGTGATGGAGGGGCCGAACTACATCCCCATCACTCCGATTGCCAAGGTGATGGAGGGGCCGAACTACATCCCCATCACTCCGATTGCCAAGGTGATGGAGGGGCCGAACTACATCCCCATCTCTCCGATTGCCAAGGTGATGGAGGGGCCGAACTACATCCCCATCACTTCGATTGCCATGGTGATGGAGGGACCAAAGTAAATCATCATCTCTCCGATTACCAAGGTGATGGAGGGGCCGAACTACATCCCCATCACTCCGATTGCCATGGTGATGGAGGGACCAAAGTAAATCATCATCTCTCCGATTGCCAAAGTGATGGAGGGGCCGAACTACATCCCCATCACTCCGATTGCCAAGGTGATGGAGGGGCCGAACTACATCCCCATCACTCCGATTGCCATGGTGATGGAGGGACCAAAGTAAATCATCATCTCTCCGATTGCCAGGGTGATGGAGGGGCCGTGATGGCTCAGTCGGTCATGGCCTTGATTGGCCTACGTAACAGCAGATGAAGATCCGAGGTACACGGTTCGAGGCTCCCTACTTTTCTATGAGAAACGGACAGGTCTATGGTGATGTAGTTGTGTCCATGGGAAGACTTTTCATCCTAATTGCTCTGGCGGCCGAGAACGGGCCTCCCGTATGTTGTACAGTAACTACCAGTTACTATAAGGAGACTGCCTCCTCAAAATGACACCGATTGTTCCCGACATGATAAAACAAACAAACCAGCCATTGGGACAAGCTTAAGTCCGTGCGCAAATAGATCGAGCGCCGAATCTATAATACCGCCTGCTAGTGTGAAAACGATTGTTAATATTTGGAAGCATCCATGTTCCACGTCAATTTCTTCTCATGGTGATACCATTAATATGGGGAAAAACAAACAAAAACTGAGGTATTCACATGGTTTTTGATAAATTCTTAAACTGTTTTTTTTACTGCATAGTCTTAGTCTACACAGTATAAAGGATTGATAGATAAAAAACAGGAGTTTTGTGGCTTTGCACTTGATTAAAACCAGTGAAGTATCAATTAAAGGGACTAAATGGTTAGATTTTGTTATTTTTTGCCCATTTGTTTGATTTCGGGCAAGCATTGTAATACTTAAAATAACTTCACAAAATTAAAGATCATTTGATTAAAACTAACGCTACTCGACACTTGCTGTTGTATCTGCCACCCGTCGCTGTTTTGAACGGAGATAGTCGAATTCATCAAGTGACCTTTCGTAGCCTCGTTTTAACATGCCATTTTGATATGATTTCTTGCTGTGTATGATGATGTAATAAGCCAAAACTTCATTTGCCAGCCATGTTTCAATTCTTACTTCGTAAAATGACCTCTTGCTTCATGTTATACGAATAAATTTGATTAATGAATTTGAATTAATCTGAATCTAGCATTGCATGCTCAAAGACATTGTTTACACTCTCCCAACGATAATGATATGAATTAGTGTTGGGTCACTCCAATTTTATTTTGATTTTTTGACATTGTTAGCGAAATGGTTATGCAAGCGTTTAAGATATCATAATTAACAGAAAGTACAAAGGTACAGATATTTAAATGTCATAATGTTTTTTATCATTCATGAAATGAATATCTAACCATTTATTCCCTTTTAATTTTTAAAGACGTTGAATATATCAGAATTTGTCTACTAGCATCATTCAGAATACCTACCATTCAGTTTCGTCTGTAACTGAACAATAGCGCATTTTTTTTTTTTTTTTTTTTTGCACAAATTTCATTGTAAATCGAGATGAGGGGTGGTATAGAATTGCAAATCTACGATTAAATAATAGAGCGTATCTGGATAACTAATAAACAATCGTATACATCAGTTTATATTAATCACTCTTGTTTAATCAAATAGGGGATCTTGATGGGTCTTACTGCGGGAGGAAATCGGATTACCCGGGAATAAGGGTGTGGAGGGGGGCGAGGAGTAGGGGTTTAGTGATCGGGCGTAAGACCACATACTTTTTCACGTCTCGGTGAAAGGAAAGTGCGTTTCCACGTTACCACAATACCCCCATATAACTTACATCTATTGCTTGTCTGGATTGAAACACGCGAGTAGTCTTAACTGTTGCATGAAAAGAGGTCGGGCTCGTTACGTCATACAATTTGCGTTCGATTGGGGACATGTAGCACAGGATCGCCTTAATAGGCAAATATTGCATTTTCCACTGCACCACGTATTATTTAGCAGGTCTTTCATGCTTATGTGTTCTATGCAATAACGGGAGCTCGTCTGAAATAATCGCTAAACTGTTTATATTGATATAAAACAACGATAGTAATTATCAGCCAGTTTTCGCCGCGGGTCCACTTGTCGTCATTACTGCGGCCGGTTTAATTTGTCCCTCTTTCAAGAAAAAATGGAGCGATGAATTTTGGTTGCTTAATTGATTACTGCAGCACGTGCCGGTGTCCTGATTCTGGTCGCGTCCTCTACCCCTTGTGCACTACTGATGTGTATGTAATATGTTTCATTGCACTCAGTTTTAATCAAGTTGTAATACATACTATACATAAGTAGTTTTTTAAATGTAACAATCGTGTGTATCGTTTGGTAGTTATTAATTGTATGTAACCAAGGGGTATGGCTGTGTACTGGTAAAGGCTTAGTCTGCCTACAGTAAAACTCTGTTTCTCATTAACAATAAATAACCCCCTCCGGCAACCCGCAGGTGTTTCTGAAATGTCGCCATATTACAATGCCTCTGGGCATGACCGGAACTTCGACATAACTGGCGGCGGGCCGAATTCTCTTTAGTGTTGAACCTTGTAATTACCCGCAGGGGTTGATACGGGGCTGTGTAGCCTTCATCAAGATACAACAGCACAAAGGCCTCTGCTTGTACGTTTGGATCGTTTATTTGTCCCAATGCATTGTTGTAAAATTGTATGTGGATATAGTACGTTGTAAACACATGTAGTCTTTACTCAGGCGTCATTCTGTATCAATAGGTGTTAATTTGTTCTATTGTAGGTCACCTACAGCTAATCTGAAGGTCAACGTTCAACTTGGAGGCAATCTTACAGTAATCTCCATGTAACGCGGGAGAAGAGCGCTGAAGTTTTCACAGGAAAGTGAAAAGGAAGCAAAGCAATTGCTGTGATACAAAACGATCACCAAACTCTGGACATTTGTCACGTTCATGGACAATGTCCTCTCCTCATACACCAGTTGCTTCCCCACCGATATCACAGAATGGTCACTCGTTTTCCAAAATCTCAGGAGTACCCTGTCCAGCAACACCGACCCGCTACACGGCGCCTGTCCACATCGACGTCGGCGGCGTCATATATACGTCATCGCTGGAAACGCTTACAAAGTAAGTAAATCGCGTGACTTGAAAATTTTGTATTCTTATCAAATGTTCAACTGGAACCGGTTAAAGAAAATAGGTTTTAAAGCCAATTCTATGCTTATTGAAATCGAGTTGTTTCAAGGCCTGGCAGTGAGGTATTTAAATTTACAGTTGATAATTTTTGCGACCTCGTCCTTTCAAATACACGATGTTTATTACTTGAACTATAGTTTCATAAATGAGAAGTTTATTTATTTATCTTTTTACTATGTTACTTAGTTTCGATTGAGACCTTTTTATAATGCGAGGAATGGTTTTATTTCACAAACATTTCAAACCGTTGTGACAGTAGCGATTGGTACGGATCATGGGTTGAAATCAGTGACCTATTACTGTTTGATCAATTGTTTACCAGTATTGACCTCCTCATTAGCTATTTCGTCAGGGATATGTCTTATTAATAATTTACATTTAGCACCAACAACCAATATTGAAGCATTGATTTTATATCTAAACTGCCATCTGTGCCTTAATAAATAATATCATTATGTCTGAAATAGGGACGTGCTATCACTAGATAGCGTCACAAAGCGTTCAGCGTCACATTTATGTGTGGTAGGGTATCTAGTGTCACACTGGTGTGATGTCAGTATCTAGTGTCACATTGGTGTAATGTCAGTATCTAGTGTCACATTGATGTGGTGTCAGTACATAGTGTCACATTGATGTGATGCCAGTATCTAGTGTATCATTGATGTGATGTCAGTACCTAGTGTCACATTGATGTTATGTCAGTACCTAGTGTCACATTGATGTGATGTCAGTACATAGTGTCACATTGATATGGTGTCAGTATATAGTGTCACATTGATGTGGTGTCAGTATCTAGTGTCACATTGTTGTGGTGTCAGTATCTAGTGTCACATTGATGTGGTGTCAGTATATAGTGTCACATTGATGTGATGTCAGTATATAGTGTCACATTGATGTGATGTCAGTATATAGTGTCACATTGATGTGGTGTCAGTATCTAGTGTCACATTGATGTGGTGTCAGTATCTAGTGTCACATTGATGTGGTGTCAGTATCTAGTGTCACATTGATGTGGTGTCAGTATCTACTGTCACATTGATGTGGTGTCAGTATCTAGTGTCACATTGATGTGATGTCAGTATATAGAGTCACATTGATGTGGTGTCAGTATCTAGTGTCACATTGATGTGTCAGTATCTAGTGTCACATTGATGTGATTTCAGTATCTAGTGTCACATTGATGTGGTGTCAGTATATAGTGTCACATTGATGTGGTGTCAGTATCTAGTGTCACAGTGATGTGATGTCAGTATATAGTGTCACATTGATGTGATGTCAGTATCTAGTGTCACATTGATATGGTTTCAGTATCCAGTGTCACATTGATGTAATGTCAGTATCCAGTGTCACATTGATGTGATGTCAGCATCTAGTGTCACATTGATGTGATGTCAGTATCTAGTGTCACATTAATGTGATGTCAGTATCTAGTGTCACATTGATGTTATGTCAGTACCTAGTGTATCATTGATGTTATGTCAGTATCTAGTGTATCATTGATGTGGTACCAGTATCTAGTGTCACATTGATGTGGTGTCAGTATCTAGTGTCACATTGATGTTATGTCAGTATCTAGTGTCACATTGATGTGGTGTCAGTATATAGTGTCACATTGATGTGGTGTCAGTATCTAGTGTCACAGTGATGTGATGTCAGTATATAGTGTCACATTGATGTGATGTCAGTATCTAGTGTCACATTGATATGGTTTCAGTATCCAGTGTCACATTGATGTGATGTCATCATCTAGTGTCACATTGATGTGATGTCAGTATCTAGTGTCACATTAATGTGATGTCAGTATCTAGTGTCACATTGATGTTATGTCAGTACCTAGTGTATCATTGATGTTATGTCAGTATCTAGTGTCACATTAATGTGATGTCAGTATCTAGTGTCACATTGATGTTATGTCAGTACCTAGTGTATCATTGATGTTATGTCAGTACCTAGTGTATCATTGATGTTATGTCAGTATCTAGTGTCACATTAATGTGATGTCAGTATCTAGTGTCACATTGATGTTATGTCAGTACCTAGTGTATCATTGATGTTAAGTCAGTATCTAGTGTATCATTGATGTGGTGTCAGTATCTAGTGTCACATTGATGTTATGTCAGTATCTAGTGTCACATTGATGTGGTGTCAGTATCTAGTGTCACATTGATGTTATGTCAGTATCTAGTGTCACATTGATGTGGTGTCAATAGTTTAACATTGATGAGATAATAACGTCTAGTGTCAATGATCTGATGTGATGTAATTATCTAAAGCCACACTGATGTGTTATGCGATATTGATGTGTCATTATCTACCGTTGCGTTGATGTGTTTACAGTCACGTTGGTGTGATGTCAGTGTTACAGTGAAGTGAAGTTAGTATTTAGTTAAACTTTAATGAATGTTTGTACCGTTATATATCTATAATGGAAGAGAGCAAATGAAAATAATTTGAAAGACTTTAAGGTACAGAAAGACATAGGAATTGTAACAGGATACAGAAAGACATACAAATGGTAACAAGGTACAGAAAGACATAGGAATGGTAACAGGATACAGAAAGACATAGGAATGGTAACAAGGTACAGAAAGACATAGGAATGGTAACAAGGTACAGAAAGACAGGAATGGTAACAAGGTACAGAAAGACATAGGAATGGTAACAGGATACAGAAAGACATACAAATGGTAACAAGGTACAGAAAGACATAGGAATGGTAACAGGATACAGAAAGACATAGGAATGGTAACAAGGTACAGAAAGACATAGGAATGGTAACAAGGTACAGAAAGACATAGGAATGGTAACAAGGTACAGAAAGACATAGGAATGGTAACATGGTACAGAAAGACATAGGAATGGTAACAAGGTACAGAAAGACATAGAAATGGTAACAAGGTACAGAAAGACATAGGAATGGTAACAAGGTACAGAAAGACATAGGAATGGTAACAAGGTACAGAAAGACATAGGAATGGTAACAGAAAGGCATAGGAATGGTAACAGGATACAGAAAGACATAGGAATGGTAACAAGGTACAGAAAGACATAGGAATGGTAACAAGGTACAGAAAGACATAGGAATGGTAACAAGGTACAGAAAGACATAGGAATGGTAACAAGGTACAGAAAGACAGGAATGGTAACAAGGTACAGAAAGACATGGGAATGGTAACAAGGTACAGAAAGACATAGGAATGGTAACAAGGTACAGAAAGACATAGGAATGGTAACAAGGTACAGAAAGACATAGGAATGGTAACAAGGTACAGAAAGACATAGGAATGGTAACAAGGTACAGAAAGACATAGGAATGGTAACAAGGTACAGAAAGACATAGGAATGGTAACAAGGTACAGAAAGACATAGGAATGGTAACAAGGTACAGAAAGACATAGGAATGGTAACAAGGTACAGAAAGACATAGGAATGGTAACAAGGTACAGAAAGACATAGGAATGGTAACAAGGTACAGAAAGACATAGGAATGGTAACAAGGTACAGAAAGACATAGGAATGGTAACAAGGTACAGAAAGACATAGGAATGGTAACAAGGTACAGAAAGACATAGGAATGGTAACAAGGTACAGAAAGACATAGGAATGGTAACAAGGTACAGAAAGACATAGGAATGGTAACAAGGTACAGAAAGACATAGGAATGGTAACAAGGTACAGAAAGACATAGGAATGGTAACAAGGTACAGAAAGACATAGGAATGGTAACAAGGTACAGAAAGACATAGGAATGGTAACAAGGTACAGAAAGACATAGGAATGGTAACAAGGTACAGAAAGACATAGGAATGGTAACAAGGTACAGAAAGACATAGGAATGGTAACAAGGTACAGAAAGACATAGGAATGGTAACAAGGTACAGAAAGACATAGGAATGGTAACAAGGTACAGAAAGACATAGGAATGGTAACAAGGTACAGAAAGACATAGGAATGGTAACAAGGTACAGAAAGACATAGGAATGGTAACAAGGTACAGAAAGACATAGGAATGGTAACAAGGTACAGAAAGACATAGGAATGGTAACAAGGTACAGAAAGACATAGGAATGGTAACAAGGTACAGAAAGACATAGGAATGGTAACAAGGTACAGAAAGACATAGGAATGGTAACAAGGTACAGAAAGACATAGGAATGGTAACAAGGTACAGAAAGACATAGGAATGGTAACAAGGTACAGAAAGACATAGGAATGGTAACAAGGTACAGAAAGACATAGGAATGGTAACAAGGTACAGAAAGACATAGGAATGGTAACAAGGTACAGAAAGACATAGGAATGGTAACAAGGTACAGAAAGACATAGGAATGGTAACAAGGTACAGAAAGACATAGGAATGGTAACAAGGTACAGAAAGACATAGGAATGGTAACAAGGTACAGAAAGACATAGGAATGGTAACAAGGTACAGAAAGACATAGGAATGGTAACAAGGTACAGAAAGACATAGGAATGGTAACAAGGTACAGAAAGACATAGGAATGGTAACAAGGTACAGAAAGACATAGGAATGGTAACAAGGTACAGAAAGACATAGGAATGGTAACAAGGTACAGAAAGACATAGGAATGGTAACAAGGTACAGAAAGACATAGGAATGGTAACAAGGTACAGAAAGACATAGGAATGGTAACAAGGTACAGAAAGACATAGGAATGGTAACAAGGTACAGAAAGACATAGGAATGGTAACAAGGTACAGAAAGACATAGGAATGGTAACAAGGTACAGAAAGACATAGGAATGGTAACAAGGTACAGAAAGACATAGGAATGGTAACAAGGTACAGAAAGACATAGGAATGGTAACAAGGTACAGAAAGACATAGGAATGGTAACAAGGTACAGAAAGACATAGGAATGGTAACAAGGTACAGAAAGACATAGGAATGGTAACAAGGTACAGAAAGAC